TCCCAGAGAGCACGGAGGAAATGGTAAGCAAATGGCAGCAGTTGCCTAGAGAATTAGGGAATGAATAACAATGCTATATGGTAAATTAACCATGTTACATTGTGCACAGCAAAGTGATGGAAAAACCCTGTTAAAAATTGAATAATAATTTGCCCACATCATTTACGTAAAATGCATAATTTTCCTACTTCAGTGGACTTTAGTTTGATTTAAAATATGAACAACTCCAGTCCTGTTCACCAAAGCATAATTTTTGAGATAATTGGGAAGGGGGAAAGGAATCAGACCATAATCAGCACAATCCTATGTGAACCACTTCACCTCCCCCCTCACCTGTACATTTCAGATAATATTTGTTTTTACATTCCTGAAGGTCTCTAAGTGAAAGTGCAAGGCATTCATCACTGTCACCACTATCACTAAACCATGACCTCACCATGTTTGAGAAGGGGAAAGCAATGCTTCATTCTATTCAATATTTTTCTGCTCTAATTCAAATAAGTGCTTGTTTCTGGATACTCGGGAAAATGGAAACGTAGCACAGCTGAACTTAAAACAGCAAGCCAAGAACAAAAGCAACGTGCACAGCCAAAGGAGACATTGGAAGATGCGTAGATAAAACAAAAAGCTGTGCTTGACTGGGACTCTCTTTTGGAATCAGAGGCAAAATGGAGAACATTGTTCCAATTGTAAAGATTTTGCAATCTATAATATCTCTAATAGAAAGGCATCATGTCATCTACCTTGACATTCAGAAGCTGTGCTATTGCTATGAGTTATGATACTTGTTCCTGAACCAGAGTGGTCAGAGGTGGGGTGGAATTCCTGTGGTGGACCAGAATTTAAACTCCACTTAAACAGTGCTTTCCCATGGCAATCACTGTCCCTTTTCCTTCCCCCACCTGCCCCAGCTCCCCACCCCCACCAGAACCATAGAATTTTTATTTAAATATTTACTCATTCTCTTCATCCCCATCTCTCTCCACAAAGGGTCATTATTTACTTATTATACTCAGCCCTTAAATGTCAACTTTTTTAGGACAAGTGTATAGCTGATTCTCTCTGCAGCCTTGCTGACCCCAAGAAGTTGAATCTTGAACCTCACAAATCTCAATACTTTTTATCTCTTGGGTGCCCATTTTGGTTGAGCAAAGGGTCCTCCCTCAATCCTAAGACTCCTCCCCACTTCCTCCTTTTCTCCTAGTAACTCTTGCCACTGGCCAAAGATTTATTAGACCCTAGTTTTGTCCCTATGCCTCTTGCCACTAGCTATAAATTGCGTTTTTGCAAATTAGAAAAAGCTACCCTACCTCAAGACACTTTGGTGCCATCTGCCAGAAAACTATTGTAATAAATATGCCAAGAGATCATGACTAGAATGTGAATGGTGCCCCCTAGAATTGTGCAGTATACAACTGGCACAACTGTATGTGACAGCCCTGTACTTGGAAATCACCTGAGCTATCCTGGAAGCTGGTTGTATAAATAAGAACACAGTAGATCAGTCTTGCCTTTTTATGACAGTTGGCAATTTCAAAATCTAAATCACTTGGCCATAATCAAAAATTGCTGAGAGGCAATTTCTGGAAGAGACCAAGAGCCCCCAGGTAGCATTACTCATAAGAATAAAGGGTTCTTATTCAGCTCGAGATTTGGCCTACTGGCTGGGTATATACAACCCAAACCACCTTGGCTTGATTTTCAGGAAGCATCACTTAGAAATCTGGTAAGTCTCAGTGTTGGGGGTAAAGGAGGAAAGTGAATTTGGCTTATGTTTAGGTCAACCTTTCCCTCTCCCTGGCATTGGCTGCTTCATTCTTGTTGATAGCTCCATCTGTTTCCCTCCCTCCTTCACATTGAGTACAACCTGCATGTTCTAGTGATCTTCTGCCATAAAACAGACTACCCCAAAACTTAGTGACAGAAATAGAAACAGTCATTTATTTGCTCACAAGTCTGCAATTTGGACAACATCCATCAGGGACGTCTCTGCTCCACATGGCATCAGTTGGGGCATCCCTGTGTGGCTGGAGGACCTGCCTTCCCAACAGCGTACACACAGCCACTGAGTTGATGCTGGCTTCTGCCTGGGAGCTTGGCTGGGGCTCTTGCCAAGGGCTTTGGTTCCTTTCCACTTGGGCTCCCAGGTGTCTGTGGGGGCTTGTTCACACCATGGAGCTCATGCTAAACCACCAGTTGAACCACCCCCAACTGACTCCTCATGAAGCAGAGACAAGCTGCCCCCACCAAAAGTAAAGTGAATTGTGTCTGACTCTTAGCGACCCCATGGACTGTAGCCTGCCAGGCTTCCCTGTCTGTGGAATTCTCCTGGCAAAGATACTGAAGATTGCCATTTCCTTCTCCAGGGGATCTTGCTCCCACCAAACTTTGCCCACATTTCCAATTTCTGAAAAAAATAAATGGCTGGTTTTAAGCCACTGAAGTTTGGAATGGTTTATTTTGCAGCGATAGATCACCAGGATGCACAGGTGGAATGTGATGTGGATACGTGCCTACATCTTCCTATGATGCCTGTAGGTGCATGGGGTAAAGGAAGCTAAAAACAAACAAACAAACAAAAAAAACCAGCTACATTTCCCAGACTCTCTTACCATGAGGGTCATGAGTGTCAGTCAGGCCATCCTAGTTAGACATATCAGCATGGAGTTTGGAAGGCAAAAGTGAGACAGAAGCCAAGTTCCTGCAGGTTTTGTGTGTTTTCTGTTGGAAAGCAAGGCCGTGGGGCCACCGACGTCCAATCTCCAGCTTCGTGGGTGTCAGGAGTCAGTTGAGGAGGTGGCAGAGGCTCCTCCACGTCCCAGCGTGCAGGTAGAAGTTCCCAGCTGTCTGACCAAATGCTGTGCTATTGCAACTACCGTGTTCTTGGGGTCAACAGTGCCCGCAGCAGCTCCCCCAAGTCCCACCTTCCTGAAAGTGAGAGGGATAGCAGTGCTGCCACGACTCCTGGCAGGTCAGCTCTGCCACCTTCTGGGAATCATTTCTAGAAATCCAGCAGAGAGCCTTCTCTTCCAGCCATTCAGCAAGTTTATAATTCCACCTTTTTGCTTAAAAACTCTAGCCTGGTTCCTATTTCCTGTATTAATCCTGCAACTTATGAATCCTGCAGGCTGATCCTCAGTGTACCATCCCTTCTCAGCCACCCTTGTTCTTGCTTGCTTTCTCTTGTGTACTCACTCCTTTGACAGATATTTATGGCATACCTACTCCACCTAGACAGCATGTTAAAAAGTAGAGACATCACTTTGCCAACAAACTTCCACATAGTCAAAGCTATGGTTTTTCCAGTAGTCACATATGGATGTGAGTTGAACCATAGAGGAGGCTGAGCACTGAAGAATTGATGCTTTTGTACTGTGGTGCTGGAGGAGATTTTTGACGGTCCCTTTGACAGCAAGGAGATCAAACCAGTCCATCCTAAAGGAGATCAAGCCAGTCCGTCCTAAAGGAAATCAACCCTGAATATTCATTGGAAGTTCTGATGCTGAAGCTGAAGCTCCAATACTTTGGCCACCTGATGCAAAGAGCCAACTCATTGGAAAAGACCCTGAAGCTGGGAAAGACTGAAGGCAATAGGAGAAGAAGACAGGGGATGAGATGGTTGGGTGGCATTATCAACTGAAAGGATACGAGTTTGAACAAACTCCGGGAGAATGGTGAAGGACAGGGAAGCCTGGCATGCTGCAGTCCGTGGGATCCCAAAGAGTCAGACGCAACTGAGTGACTGAACAACAACAATTCCATTGCCAGGCACTTGGCTAGACCCTGGAGAAGAATCTATGAACTAAACAGACATTGACACCACCCTCATGGAAGGAGCCAAGACACAGACCAAGAGACAGCAAGCTACAACCCTCAGACCAAGTCAGCCCCTGCCCATGTTTGTGGGAAAGTTTTCTTAGCACACAGCCACACCCATTCACCTCTGTCTTGGCTCTGGCCAGTGTTTCAGAGACTGTATGACCCACAGAGCTGAAAATACTTACCACCTAGCCTTTCACAGAAAAAGTTTGCCAACTCCTGCATTAAACAAATAAAACTCCATGTCAGGCTCTTGTTGTCCCCACATCCAATCAATCACTCTGTCAGTTCTGCAGACATACATGCCAAGCTCAGCTCTGAGCACTCCATGAGAACCATCTTACTTAATTCTCACAACAGCCTTTGGAACATATTGTTAAAATCGGAAAGCATGGGGAGAGGCTGGGGTCGGGGGTGACTGGGTAGTTGGTAAAGCTTTAATGGGGATGAAAGTCCCGGGAGGAAGAGCTAAGAGTAGGCAGGAACTGGTGGACTCCATGTAGACTCGGGTGGGTGAGGCCCCCACGGACACCAGTGAGAGACTGTCCTGGCCAATTTTTGGTGTAGTGTGGTAGGGAAGCATGATTTCAAGTTTGGCCTGATTTCAGGTTCAAATCACAACTCTTCCACTATTAACTGTGTGGCTTTAGTTACTTCACATCTCTAAGCCTCTTAGCCTCCATCTCCTCACGAGTGAAATGGGCTCTCGTCAAACTGAAGTAAGGGAATATGCATGCACCTTCGAGCATCGGGCTTGGTCTGTGGCAGATGTCAGATCCGTGTGGGCACCTCCCCTTCATCTTCAGTCTATCCTGTATGTGGTGGAAAACTACCCTAAAATCTCAGCTGAGATTGTGTTATTCTCCTAGTTAGAAGACATGATGGCTTCCACTGGCCCCCACTAGTGGAAGGAGACACTAGTTTGGTGGGGCTGCCCAGCACACACCTCTTTAAACTCCTCCCCACCCCTCGCATTGCATTTTCTATTGAAAGTCAAGTTTTTTTACCATGTAACCCTCCTGATTACCAACACAGCTGATGATACTGGGGTCAGATGCCTGACAGGGGAACCAGTCCATTGACTGGCCACTAGCTAATGGAACTATGTCCAAGAAGCAAGAGGCTCTGGTGATGAATGCTGGGCCTACAGGTTAGGTTGAGTCAGGATCAGAGGTGGCCCCATGGAGAGCAGAGCGAAGCAGTGGCTAGGGACCACGGGCCACCGAAGAGCGAGTGGCTGGGAGCAGCTGCCGCTCAGCTCCTCCATCTGCAGATCTAACACTACTTCCATAGAAATACACCATTTCTCTGAGATTCCTCAAGCCCCCGCAGACAGCATTTTGTCCCTTGAGCCATTTCCAGGGAGTGCAGGCCCCTGCAGTCCTGCTCCGCTGTTTGCCTCATCTCTCCTGTCCCCTCTACCATCACCCCTGCCCTGGATCCTGCCTACGCTGAACTGCCCACAACTCCTCAAGCACATTCTGCACTGTTCCAGTCTTTACCTCTTGACTAGAATGTTCTTTGCTCTCTCTTCTCTTCTTAACCACCCATCCATCCTTGGAGGCCTCACTCAAACATCTCCTCCTTCCTCTCTGATCCCTCAGTCATAAACGGTGGCTCCTCCCAAGAGCTCCCCACATTGGGCTCTGGTCTCCCCAGGGTCTCCTGCACCCTTCTCCCTGAGTTCTCCTCCTCGTGTCTGTGCTCGCTGCCAGTAGGAAGTTGGCCCGTGCTAGACACTCAGATGTAACTGTGAATTTACTCCAAGGGTTAGAAAACCTCAAATACAATCTGAGTTTCTTCCATAAAGACTATTATGCCAATATAAGGCATTGTTCATTAAAATGGAAATGCATTTAGAGAATGCTTCAGATTAAAGGGATAAAGATCAAAGGGTGCATTTTTGGCCAGGAGTTCTGAGTCTTACAGACCCAAATAAATTGTAGACATTTTATTTCCTGAACTGATTGGAACCATAACACTGGATTTGGTGCTGCAATATAAAACTTGCTGAAACTTTTAGCCTGGTGGAAAGTTTGTCGCCTCTTTATGGTAAGTGGATGTTCTCATCTGACATTAAAGTGCCCATGTCTCCTGCTGAAACTAGCTAGTCAGTCCGGAAGGCCTGACTTGGAAGAAGCCTCCATCATTAATGGGGAACCTGCAGAGCCTTGCCCTTAGTTAGAGTTTCAGGCACACCCAGCCCCCAGCAGATCAGGAAAGGATGTGTCTGTTGCATGTGGACACATGTCCACTTGGGCTCAAGATCCTGCAGATCTGTGATGAGAATAGAAAGCAGCTGTTCATGCAGACAGCACTTGAGATGCTGGCTGAGTTTTACAAACATGCAAGAATCTGTTCACCAGAATCCTGACTGCTGCTGCGGCCTGGCCGCTCCTCTTGGTCCCTCTGCCCGGGGCTCATCCCTGGGCTTGCCCTCCCTGCCACACTCCCAGCCCTGCTGCCCAGGTTCCCTTTGGACCAGGGGGTTGGGTTGGAGGGTTCTGGGTCATGGGGCGAGCCAAGCCCCTGCCCCTGAGTCCAGGGAGGGAAAGACACACTGCTGGGAGGAGGGCCACCAAAAGGGCTAGTGATGGGAGCCCTCCAGACTCAGCAGGGGATGCCCTGCTCCCGATGGGGCAGCAGGGCGGTCTCGGGCATGGGCCTTCAGCTTTTGCAGTAGCCAATCAGGCCAGGCAGACTTGGCCCAACTCAACCCCTGAGAAAGCAGGCCCCTGCCACAACAGGGACAGTGACCCTCAGCCAGTCTTGTGGGGGCTCCTGAGAGGTTGAACTGGGATTTGGGGAGCAGGATAACCTGACTCCTGTCCCTCCAGGTGAGATGCGGCTCACATCTCATCTCCTACCTCATCTGGGGCTGCAGAACAGGGCCTTCGCCTGGACCTCAACCCCAGCGCTTCAAAGAGATGCTGTTCTATTGGATTTGATGAACCTGACCTCTAGCAGAGCATCCCAGAAGATCACTGACTTACATGGCACAAGGGACAGGTTTTCAAAACAAAACCCAGATTTTATAGATGAAACCAAAAGAGTACATTGAAACTCCCTTGTGCTTTATCCCCCACACCCTGACCTTGCTCTTTCTTAATAAGAGAATCTAAGTGTGGAGTGGCCTGCTGGGTCCTGGCCCTGGGCTGGCCATGGTGATAGGTGCCCCCTCACTCCTTATGCCCTCTTTTGATAACCCTCAAGTTCCCCCTGCACCCTTCAGAAACTCAAGTATGCTCCCCCCAGAGGTGGGATGGAGAACACTGTATATAGGAAATGCTAGCAATGGACAGGAACCTTCTCCAGAAGCTGAAAGACTCCAGAGCTTTGTGTCCCACCTGACCTCCTAAAAACTGAGAAACCCTTGGGTAAAGTTATCCTCCACCTCCGGCTCACAGGGGACATCCTACAATTTGTCTTTGGCACCGCCTAGTTCAGTGAGCAGCTCTTACCCTGGCTGGCCACTTCCTTGCAAGGTAGTTGCTGACTCAGACAGCTAAGAGAACAGGGTCTGAAATTTCCATTAAATGCAAATCCCTAGACTCTTCTGATCTTGGGGCAAGATGCAAAAATGTCCATTTTCTTTTAATACATAAAAATTCTCCTTTTGATGACACAAGTAATATGTGTGATACACGTAACAACTACCTTCTTAGGGTAAAACCAATAAGCATTCTGGAGAAAGAGATGGCAACCCACTCCAGTATTCTTGCCTGGAAAATCCCATGGACAGAGGAGCCTGGTGGGCTACAGTCCATGGGGTCGCAAAGAGTCAGACAGGACTGAGCAACTGAGCACAATAAACTTTCACACAAAGCAATCCATGCCTCCCCGCCCCCGCCACTGGCCCACCCCTTTCCAATGCCATACCTTCCACAGGTTATCACTTACCATCTTTGTTTGTGTCTTTGCAATCGTCTTGGAACACATTTACACGGGCAGGGCTTTTTCTTTACATGAGTGAAACACATGCTGCACCTTGGCTTTTCACCGAGTAATCCATCTCAGAGAACTCTCCATGTCTACACATTGAGATTTACTTTCTTCTTTTTAACAATTGGTATTCAACAGGATTCCATAGAATGAAAACAGCATCATTCATTTAACCATTCTCTCATTGACAGATAATTATTTCCAGATTAATTACAAACAACCTACATCCTTACACCATTTTTGGTGGACATCAGCAAGGATTTCTCTTGGAGAACTATCTAGAAGTGGAATTGCTTTGGTATTCATTTTAATACATTTTTAAGTTTAATACATATTGCTGAATTGTCCCATCAAACCATTTAATCAGTGTATATACAAGTAAGTTATCGTTTTCCTGGAATCTTCATTTTTTTAACAAGTGACCAGATGATTTGGATGCAGGTGTCTAAGGACCACACTTTGAGGACACAGTGGTTATATCAACTGACCATGGGTGCAATAACACTACACTTAACAGAAGTTATTCCCAGACCCAGTGGCTTAAATTAACAAGTTTGGGAGCTTTTTTCTCAGTGTGATCTGTAGTTGGACCACAGCCCAGCGAGGTTTAGCTGGACTTCAGGCTCAGAGTTCCAAGTTACCCACTGCAGGACTTAGATCCAGGCTTCGGATCAAGCTCTATGTACAGGCATCCCTAACGTCTCCCTGTCCTCATCTTTTTCAGTCAGATTGGATTATGGCCTCATTTTAACTTATTCACCTCTCAAAGGTCTTATCTCCAAATATGGTCACATTCTGAAGCACTGGGGGTAATATGAATTTTGTTGTTGTTCAGTTGCTAAGTCCTGTCCAACTCTTTACGACCTCATGGACTATAGCAAGCCAGGATTTCCTCTCCCCCACTGTCTCCAAAGTTTGCTAAAATTCATGTCCATTGAGTTGGTGATGTTATCTAACCATCTCATCCTCTGTCATCACCTTCTCCTCCTGCCCTCAATCTTTCCCAGCATCAGGATCTTTTCCAATGAGATGGCTTTTCACATTAGGTGGTCAAAATATTGCAGCTTCAGCTTCAGCAGTAGTCCTTCCAATGAATATTCAGGATTTCTTTCCCTTAAGATCGACTGGTTTGATCTCCTTGCAGTCAAAGGGACTCTCATGATCTTCTCCAGCACCACAATTCAGAAATATCACACACAATTCTTCTGTCCTCGGCCTTCTTTATGGTCCAACTCTCACATCTGCACAAGACTACTAGAAAAACCATAACTTTGACTATATGGATCTTTGTCAGCAAAGTGATGTCTCTGCTTTTTAATACGCTAAGTTTCTCAGAGCTTTCCTTCCAAGGAGCAAGTATCTTTTCATGGCTGCAGTCACCATCCACAGTAATTTTGAGCCTAAGAAAATAAAATCTGCCACTGCTTCCACTAGGGACACAATTCAGCCTATAACAATAGATTATGGACAAAATAACTTTTAAATAAACAATTTTATTGAGATATACTTTGAGTCACTCATTTATATGTCTTGTGCCTCTGATTCATACAATTTAATGGCTTTTTGTAGATTCACTGAGTTGTGTGATCATCACCACTACCAATTTTAGAACATTTTCATTACCCCAAACAAAACCCCAAGGCCCTTAACCATCACTCACTCATTTCTTTCCCATCCCCTCAGTGCTAGGCAACCACTATCTATTTTCTATCTTTATAGATGTGCCCATTCTGTACATTTCATTTAAATAGTGTCATATATACACAGTCATTTGTGACTGGCCTTTTTCATTTAGCATAATATTTTCAAGATGTATGCATGTTGGGCCTTTTTAAAAGAAAAATTATAAAATAAGAAAATAATACATTGGGCCTTTTTAAACATAAGAACTAGTGTTCATCAAAAACACCATTAAGCAAGTGAATAAGCAAGTCATAGCCTTGGAGAAGATATCTGCAATATGTAATTCTTTACAAGTACTCAAACCAGAATGTATAAGAAATGTAAGAAAATTACAAATAGTTCATTTATAACTGTGCAAAAATCTTGAACAGACCCTTCACAAATGAGGATATCCAGATGACCAATAAGCATTGGAAAAGGTACTTAACAACATTACTCATCTAGGAAATGCAAATTAAAGTCACAGTGGGATAGCACGGATTGGTTAACAGCAAAAGGACTGACAATATCAGTGCTGAGTGAGGATGTAGAGCAACTGAAGGGTCATTTATTGCTGGTGGGAGTATAAATTTGTTCCACCACTTTGGAAGATTGACAGTGAAGTTGTGTGTGCCTGCTACCCTGTGTCCCAGCAACTTCACTCCAGGTGATGGAGTGATTCTCCATGGTAATCCATGAGAAATTAGTGCGTATGCCTACTTGTATATGAACATTCATAGCTACTTTGTAATAGTCAAAAACTGGAAACAATTGAAATGATCAACAGAGGAATGGATCAATAAAAGTGGATAAATTCATGCAAATGAATATATTACATAGCAATAAAAAAGAATGAACTATTAATACATGCCAAAATATGAGTGAAATCTCAAACTTATGTCGAGTGAAAGAAACCATGCATGAAAGAGTGCATTTTATATGTGTCCATTTATACAGACTAAAAGTGAAGGGCTGGAAAAAAATATTCCACGCAAACGGAGACCAAAAGAAAGCAGGAGTCGCAATACTCATATCAGATAAAATAGACTTTCAAATAAAGACTGTGAAAAGAGACAAAGATGGACACTACATAATGATCAAAGGATCAATCCAAGAAGAAGATATAACAATTATAAATATATATGCATCCAACATAGGAGCACCGCAATATGTAAAGCAAACGCTAACGAGTATGAAAGAGGAAATTAATAGTAACACAATAATAGTAGGAGACTTTAATACCCCACTCACAACTATGGATAGATCAACTAAACAGAAAATGAACAAGGAAGCACAAACTTTAAAGGACACAATGGACCAGCTAGACCTAATTGACATCTATAGGACGTTTCACCCCAAAACAATCAACTTCACCTTTTTCTCAAGTGCACACGGAACCTTCTCCAGAATAGATCACATCCTGGGCCATAAATCTAGTCTTGGTAAATTCAAAAAGATTGAAATCATTCCAGTCATCTTTTCTGACCACAGTGCAGTAAGATTAGATCTTAATTACAGGAAAAAAATTATTAAAAATTCAAACATATGGAGGCTAAACAACACGCTTCTGAATAACCAACAAATCATAGAAGAAATCAAAAAAGAAATCAAAATATGCATAGAAATGAATGAAAATGAAAACACAACAACCCAAAACCTATGGGACAGCAGTGCTAAGGGGAAGATTCATAGCATTACAGGCCTACCTCAAGAAACAAGAAAAAAGTCAAATAAATAACCTAACTCTACACCTAAAGCAACTAGAGGAGGAAGAAATGAAGAACCCCAGGGTTAGTAGAAGGAAAGAAATCTTAAAAATTAGGGCAGAAATAAATGCAAAAGAAACTAAAGAGATCATAGCAAAAATTAACAAAGCTAAAAGCTGGTTTTTTGAAAAAATAAACAAAATTGACAAACCATTAGCAAGACTCATTAAGAAACAAAGGGAGAAGAACCAAATTAACAAAATTAGAAACGAAAATGGAGAGATCACAACAGACAACACCGAAATACAAAGGATCATAAGAGACTACTACCAGCAGCTCTATGCCAATAAAATGGACAACTTGGAAGAAATGGACAAGTTCTTAGAGAAGTATAACTTTCCAAAACCAGGAAGAAATAGAAGATCTTAACAAAACCATCACAAGCAAGGAAATCGAAACTGTAATCAGAAATCTTCCAGCAAACAAAGGCCCAGGACCAGATGGCTTCACAGCTGAATTCTACCAAAAATTTAGAGAAGAGCTAACACCTATCTTACTCAAACTCTTCCAGAAAATTGCAGAAGAAGGTAAACTTCCAAACTCATTCTATGAGGCCACCATCACCCTAATTCCAAAACCAGACAAAGATGCCACAAAAAAAGAAAACTACAGGCCAATATCACTGATGAACATAGATGCAAAAATCCTTAACAAAATTCTAGCAAACAGAATCCAACAACATATTAAAAAAATCATACATCATGACCAAGTGGGCTTTATCCCAGGAATGCAAGGATTCTTTAATATCTGCAAATCAATCAATGTAATACACCACATTAACAAATTGAAAGATAAAAACCATATGATTATCTCAATAGATGCAGAAAAAGCCTTTGACAAAATTCAACATCCATTTATGATTAAAACTCTCCAGAAAGCAGGAATAGAAGGAACATACCTCAACATAATAAAAGCTATATATGACAAACCCAGAAAGTGAAGAAGAACTAAAGAGGCTCTTAATGAAAGTGAAAGAGGATAGTGAAAAAGTTGGCCTAAAGCTCAACATTCAGAAAACTAAGATCATGGCATCCAGTCCCATCACTTCATTGCAAATAGATGGGGAAACAGTGGCTCACTTTATTTTTGGGGGCTCCAAAATCACTGCTGATGGTGACTGCAGCCATAAAAAAAATGCTTACTCCTTGGAAGGAAAGTTATGACCAACCTAGACAGCATATTAAAAAGCAGAGACATTACTTTGCCAACAAAGGTCCGTCTAGTCAAGGCTATGGTTTTTCCAGTGGTCATGTATGGATGTGAGAATTGGACTATAAAGAAAGCTGAGTGCTGAAGAATTGATGCTTTTGAACTGTGGTGTTGGTGAAAACTGTTGAGAGTCCCTTGGACTGCAAGGAGATCCACCCAGTCCATTCTAAAGGAGATCAGTCCTGGTGTTCATTGGAAGGACTGATGTTGAAGCTGAAACTCCAATACTTTGGCCACTTGATGGAAAGGGCTGACTCATTTGAGAAGAACCTGATGCTGGGAAAGATTGAGGACAGGAGGAGAAGGGGATGACAGAGGATGAGATGATTGGATGGCATCAACGACTCAATGGACATGAGTTTGGGTAGACTCTGGGAGTTGGTGATGGATGGGGAGGCCTGGCGTGCTGCAGTCCATGGGTTCGAAAAGAGTTGGACACAACTGAGCGACTGAACTGAACTGAACTGATGTACAATATTGATTTAGTTTTAGGTGTACAGCTTCAGATTCTTTTTCTTTATGGGCTTTTACAATATATTGAATATAGTTCCGTTTGTGTTCTCAGTTGCTCAGTCGTGTCTGACTCTGTGACCCCATGGACTGTAGCCCACCAGGCTCTTCTTTCCATGGGATTTTGCAAATAAGAATACTGGCATGGGTTGCCATTTCCTCCTCCAGGAAATCTTCCTGATCCAGGGATCAAACCTGTATCACCTGCATTGGCAGGTGGATTCTTTACCACTGAACCACTTGTTCAGAGAACAAGTTCTCTTTACCAGAGAACCCCACAGTCCCCTATGCTATATGGTAAATCCTTGTTGTTTGTCTTTTCTATATATAGTAGTGTATGTCTGTTAATCCCATACTCCTAATTTCTCTCTCCCTCCCCTTCCCCCTTTGGTAACCATAAGTTTATTTTCTGTGTCTGTGAGTCTATTTCTAGTTTATAAATAAGCTGATTTGTAGTATTTTTTAGATTCTACATGTAAATGATATTATATAATGTTTGTCTTTCTTTGTCTTCCTTCACTTAGTATGATAATCTCTGAGTCCATACATGTTGCTGCAAATGACAATATTTCATTCTTTTCTATGACTGTGTAGTATTCCACTGTGTGTGTGTGTGCTCCACAGCTTCTTTATCCATTAATCTGTTGATTGACATTTGGGTCGCTGCCTTGTCTTGGCTATTGTAGATAGTGCTGCTATGAATGTTGGGGGTGTATGTATCTTTTCCAATTAGAGTTTTCATCTTTCCCATATATATGCCCAGGAATGGTATTGCTCAATCATATGGAAACTCTATTTTTAGTTTTTAAAGGAACCTCCATACTATTTTCCATAGTGGCTGCACCAATTTACCTTCCAGTAGTTTATGAGAGTTCTCTTTTCTCCACACCCTATCCAGCATTTGTTATTTGTAGACTTTTTGATGTTGGACATGCAGACTGGTGTGAAGTGATACCTCATTGTCATTTTGATTTTCATTTCTTTAGTAATTAGTGATGTTGAGTATCATTTCATGTGCTTATTGACCATTTATATTTCTTCTCTGGAGAGATGTCTGTTTAGGTCTTCTCCATGTTTTTATTGGATTGTTTGTTTTTTTGATATTGAGTTATATGAGCTATT